ATTTGTCTCTATCTATTTGAAGTACTTCCAGTTTTTTTATCGAACTATTTTTTATCGATCACTTTCACTTTTTAGCCAAGATACTTCATGCATACCTATGATTTATATGTTTGCTCCTGTTTTAGGTTTTAAAATACAAATGATAGTAACATTTCCTACTGTTTTATTAGCAGCGATCAGAACTTTTAAACAGAACTAATTTACGACGCATTTAAATTTTTATAAAGGCGATGTCAAGAGTCAAAGATGTATTTGAATCAGCTTAGTAAGTATTCAAACTATAAATAACTGTTAAGACTGACAGTGTTTGACAAAATTAAGAAGCCGAAAAGCTATTTAGAAAGACATTTAGAAGTGTGGAATTTGTATGCGAAGGGTGGATGTTTGAGTGAACTAGTGACAGATTATCCACTCTCCACATTGCCCAGTGATCACGTAGTGATATTGCTAACTACAGGCCCATTAATTTGACATTCGTGCCATCAAGAACCATGGAAAAAATCATCCATAAACAGCTATTTTCATTTTTAATTTCGGCTAGTCTGTTTAGCCAATCCTAACACGGGTTTATTACTAAATGCTTATGCTTCACATCGCACCTGGAATTTTTCGATCAAATTACTCGGAGAAGAGACGCTGGTCAGTCAGTGATAATTCTGTACTTCGACTTAAGTAAGATTTTCGACAGTGTCTCACACAAGCTTCTTCTTCTAAAACTCTTTTCATTTGGCTCACGTGAATCGCTTTTATCTTGGCTCAAATCGTTATTAGAAGAACATAGCCAAATCGTTCTCTTTGGATCTTGCTACTCTAAACCTTTGAATGTGACCAGTGGGGTTATACAAGGAAGTTTGGTTGGTTCATCACTCTTTCTCCTGTTTATTAACGTCGTGTGCCGCTTCTTTCAGTATGGTAAACCTATCTTTTTGCCGATGACCTAAAAGTGGTTTATTCATTCTCTTTTTCCACCAAAGAAAGCTATATTTCAACGCTAATCCAAGAAGAAATAAACAAGTTATACGAATGAACTGTTTTGTGGAATATGCCACTTAATGTTGACAAAAGTGGATTTAATTTTACTGGTCGCTGCCTTAACCTAAATCTGGCTATACATAAACATAGACTGAAACCTCCAAACACTGTTCGTGATATGGGTTTAAGATATAGCGACGGTTTGAACTTTTTGGAACACATTGCATCTCAAGTATCGAATTAAAACTTGTCGTTATCTACAGGCTTAATAACGGTATTTCCTACTCTTTGGTACCCACCCCTTCATACTCTATGATATCTTCAAACTATGACTGCACAAACATTGATTCTATTGTCATATTTTTCTGCAATAGTAAGCCAGTTTTTCTTGATTATTTTCTATTTTATTTTTGTTGCTAATTTGATTAGTCGATTATTCTTGTTCTGTGTTCATAAACACGCCTATTAAACTATTTGCGTATTTCATGTCTCCTTTATTTCTATTCCCTTATCTCCGCCATTTTCTTTTTTAAACTCAATTCAATATATTTCTTAATTACACAGAACCTGATTCATTATTGTTATTCTATTATTATTATTATTCTATTTTCCATATATTGCAAATATAATGCTAACATTATTGAAACATGTGTATTATTGTATTTTTGAAGAAACCCGAAAAGATTTTTACACAACACTTATGTACCCATAAGATGTTTTTGAATAATAATAATAAACCTTCAGATCAAGTGAAAACATGGAAATATATTAGATATAATCTCCTTCCTGTCATTGATCATATAATTACGTCGTCTAAATCATTCATCATTTGTGGTATGGACGAACTGTGAGGTCTATACCAAGACAAACCTCCCCCGCTCGTTTGTTGACACACACTTTATTGTAGATTATATGTCAGGCAATTAGAGTTCTCTTCTCGAAAAACGTCTAGTACTGCAGCTCATCAGTATTAACTCTAGTGCCTGGAACAAAGCGAACATTTCGAATCAATAAAAATATTCCCAAGTAGACGGGATCAGATTTATAAGTTTAGGGATTCCAGAAATCTCTCCAAGCATAAAATCAAAGGTTTGCAGTCACGCAATGAACTACGCTGTGACCTTGAGCTTAGTCATACACGACTTTACTGGCAATAGTCCGGCATCATGAAACAAAAAATTAGGCAACAAAAAGTAAGTCTTTAATCAAAGTCACATAACAAAAGCTCAGACGAGAAAGACTGGAGAACACAAAGTGTGGTTAAGAGCGATCTGAATAAAGGCTAAAATACACGACGGGGAGAAGAAACAAATAAATGACGGTACTGTCCAGAAAATGCTGTGAAGGGATCTTCGGCGTTTTCTTTCCGTTACAATCATACGTATGTCTGTTCCAGTACAAAATGTTAAGCGTTGTTTGGCGCTCTTATACAAATGCCTTGTTGCTGCTTAGTTTTTCTTTACACAAAAATCTTGCATTCTCAGTTTAGCTATGGAGCTTCTGACGCCTGAAACAAACTTGACGCACGCGTTTTCCCAAGGTCATAGTTCACATCAAGCGCTCAACACATCTACTCCATAACAACTATAAACTTAAAATGTTATATCGCATAATTACTTAGCACGATCAGATTTCTAACCCAATAATGCCGAGCTTGGATATCGTGTGCATCGTGGACGCGATGCCACCTTGGGAAATATTTTAAAGCCTGAACCCCGAGTAATAATAAAACATAGACCTAATCAATAAAGCTCCAAGACATCTACACAAGTGCACTGTTTTTTAATTTTATTAATTTTATCTATTTAACGGCCCTACTTGGAAAGCATACTGTAAGCAAAGTAACGTTGCAAATTGTAGATCGTGCCTGTGGAAATGGCATGTACCTGCCCTGGCAGAAATATACTATTAATATTATAGCTAGACGTTATATAGTTTCTGATAGACAATTATGTATGCGGTCAACTGTTATCGATAAATTTCCTTGCACCTTGAAACAAGGTTTCAGGAAGAGCCACTCTTGTGTCATTAGTCTGATGACTGAAGTAGATAAGCGAACAACCGTCCTCGATTGCTAGAATATGGAAAATGTCATATACCTTAATCTCTCAAAGCTTTGTGTAGGGTTAATCATACATATTTCTTCAGTAAGTTCATGCTGATAAGTATAAAGTTACTATCGACAGATTGGTTTACAAACAATCTTAATAATCGACCTCTTAAAGTCTGAGTAGATTTCACATTTCCTCAAGCTTCAGGATTAACTGGTGGGATCCACCAAAGTTAAATACAAATACCTTCTCTCTTTTCAACTTATGTAGATGGCGTCTCTTGAAAACCATTGTTTAAGCTATCACTTTTCACTGATGATGTTTCGCTTCGGAGATTTGAAGAGGAGTTGAATGAAAAGTTAGATGGATTACAATGTGATTCAAAGTGTAGAGTGGTCTATATGCGATATGTTGCGAACTGCAAATACTACATAGGACATTCCCTTCTACGGGTCCATCGCGCCGAAAAAACTTAGATATATCAATATCTTATGGTCTAAAGTCTCTAGTGACCCAAGAACATATCAATTCCAAGAATACTGACAAAGCCATTACGTCCAAAAGTTAATTTACTAAATATAAAATATAAACACAATAAAAAATACGAAATGCTACATAGATTATCAGAAATTGGCGTGTTCGAGTTTCGTTTGGTCTGGTAATCCACCGTCATAAGCATTTAATAATTCCAATCACAGTTGTTACCTCTCGAGATACATATCCAGATAAAGCACATAGTGAGATTATCACGGTTATCTGTAAATGTATATAGCGAATATACTGTAGTTCTGTTATCATAACAGCGGGTAATTGCGAATAAGCATTTTGTGTATGAAGTGATAATCAGTGTGTCATGCTATGGAGGATTTCAAAGACGACGCGAATGATCCAAGGCCGTGTTTTTCAAACAACTATTTTCCAGTCAATCACAGTAATTGGACCAATCATGATAATTTGTGAAAAAAATGCGAATAGTAACAAAAACTGATTACAAAACGTCTGTTCTAACTCACTCTGCAAGTACTTCTGTGATATAAATGCCATTAGAGCAAACCTTACACTGATAAATGAAGTGTATTTTGGGACAATTTGACAAGAGTGCTAATAATTTTAACGGTTGTATCTGGACTCATTAAGATTATCTAAATATAGTATTTCCTCTTTCACTCAAAGCGGATGTGAATGCATCCGAAAGCTATCTTTTTAATACCTATGTCATCCAAAATATTCATGGACGACTGTTAGAATACCTACCTTTTGCAAGTGCTTTATTTCTGAGATTCACTGCCGAGTGAGGTGGTTCGAAAATTCCATAGGAGTCTATATTTGGGAAACCTGATATATTATTAAAGACTAAGGGAATAATTTATCTTGATTTACCAACATTTCTATTCGTCCTACTGAATATACTTATGTTTCTGTCTGGAGGAGTCTAAGATCCCTCCTGCCGAGGACCGCAAGGTGAAAGCTTCTAGTATACCTTTTAAAAATATATGAGTGTTTGAACCATGTTAGAAACCTTAAATTTGTGACCCATGGAGCACAGAAGGACTGATAAGAATGACCTTGATTTGTCATGATGTTCATAGTTTCATTCACTCTAAAAACATTTCGAAAGGTTTTATTACTGTAATGCACTTAGAAAAAACAGATAATGTTGTACAAAAGTTAGTGTGATCTTTTCCTTGGTTAAAATCAGTAAAGTGTGCAACTCTTTAGCAAGTGCAACAGTAAAGGGAGATGCTGAAGAGTCTTCTAAAAAAATTTTAGAAATTCAATTTGGTTCCTTAGTCACTATATGTGATTAGTTTAAAAGGTATTCCAAGGCTTTTATTATTCGATTAAGTTTGCAGCATCAGAAGAGATAGCTTTCTCTATACATTGTTAATAAAGCTATCTAACCATGGAGGCACATAGTCCTGAGGACAAATAATTGGTTGACTATTCAAACCAGAGTTTAGTCTCTATGGATTACATGTTCAATAGGTCCGCAATGTTGTAGACGGCGTCAAGATAAAACTTAACGTTGCAACGGACCGAGACATTGTGTAGCCTTAACTCCGTTTTATCCTGCCTCTAATACTCACTCTTCCCGAAGTTTCGTGATATTCACAAACTATTTTCTCCTAAATAAACTCTAACAAAGGAACTCAATTGGTCATCTTTTATCAGCTATTCCATCTTTTCATAAAGCGAACCGATTAACGGTAAGAGAAACTATAAAAAGAGCATGGCAGCGTAAATCATGGGCTTATTTCACTTAGTAAACTGTCTAGCGTTGGCTACCGGTCCTCATTTGCTGGTATACAAGTCTACCGGAATGTAGGCTAAAATTGATTCATTATGCCACCTTTTAGACCAGAAAATGATGCTTTTTGGCCCTGTTGCAAAATTGCATGCGTGTACGCACTTACACAAATTTTGAAGTTCTTTCTGGTCACTTTAGCTCCTCATACCTATTTATCTAAGGGAGATTCTATGACATTTGTATGCTTGTTTATTTCAATAATCGTTTCAGGATGTTTTTGGTATAGTACTTGAGATAATAGTAATCACTATGATTGTACGTGGATCACTTTGTAGAAGTGAGTTCAATGTAGTAGCATCCAGTGTAGGCTGGTCAATCGCTTCATTAGTAGCCACAAGGTGAGTTCTCAAACCTTTACTTAATGCCATCAGATATGTCCCGATTTGGGTTGGTACGCGTGGACTAGAATTCGATTGGAAATATTTGTGTTTAAGTTACGAAGCAAACTTAGATTTGGTAAGATTGCATATAATCCCGTTTAATTCTTTTAGGTTGATACGTTTGTGATGTTTTATTCTGTTTGGTTACTGTCACGTCGCTCAGGCCCTACTTGGAGCACTCTATTGGGCCTTCTCACCGTTATTACGGGGCCAGCTAAAAGTATATTTTATGCGTAAGTTCACTCTCAAACTTAGTGTATATCTTCGCAATTACATGATGACGTGATTTGAAACTTTTTTGTATGTAGAATGTAATGACTAACTAGTTGGTTCTTTGGCGAAGAATAGTATAAACTGAATCTCAGAATGCCACTTACTGGATATCAAACTTAACAGTTGATCAACCTTTTGTTCAACTAGCGGTTCACTTCCCATTATTTGTACGTCAGTTCAGTTCTTATTCAAATAGTTAAATAACGCGAGCTGCAATTATATAATCCAGAACTGTCATCAAATTAGAATCAGTTTTATGCAATGCTCTGTGTGTAGAAGGAAGTTAGATAGTTTGATAGATGAAATTAAACCTAGTAGTGTTGTGTAGTAAGGCCAACACTTCATGCTTATAAGATTCTGTTGTCTCAAGTGAAATAATATTTTTAATTTATTAGTGCCTTTGGAGGTGGTATTTATCACAAAGACCAAATCGACATGCGTTTACTCAAGTTCGACTAGTCTAGTTTCCGTTTAGTTAAATCTTAAATGCACATCAGCCAGGTATTTCCTTTGTATTTCGTGATAAGAAGTTGGTACGAAATATTCTGAGTCTCCTCTTTTCACCTACAGAGACCTAATGTCACAACAGTTTATCATTTACTTTGATAAATTTATCGAATACATTCTACTTCTCAGTAAATTTTCATACCATCGAAGCACCAATTAGCTAAAATACTTAGTTCTATAAATTTTTCGTACGGCATTTACTGTCCCAACTGGTTGTCCTGCACAGCATTAGAAACCAAGAATTTTGATACGTTCAATCCTTGTCTGGGATCTCGTAATTTAAAACTGACAGTCTAAACTAGCGGGTCACGAAAAAAAACGATTTTTAGCCTAAGATATGCAATTCAGCGAAACTTTCCAGTTAGTGACAGGTTGTTCAGTATAACTAAATCTAGTCATATTTCTTTAGTCATCACACATGTGCTTTTTAATTGTACAAATTAGTTAAATAGTCAAAAGTATTTTGAGTGTAAGTCTAAAATGTAATCGCAGTAGTGGCAAGATTTCATTTATTAGAGTTTCTCAACGCAACACGAAAACCTTATGCTACTACTCTTAAATGTTAAGTCGTTTTGCAACATTTAATTATAGTTTAAAGTCAACCATTTGTCACAAGTCAATTTAAAGTTGTAACTGTAAACTGAGAAGTCGATGGAAGTGTAAATGCTACCTTGATGCAGTGTTCAGTTTCACATACTGTAACAGGCAAGATCAAGCATTATAGTTTATAACAGTTATTTCTCAAGACCCTAACGTCTTAGACAAAAGCTGAAGCAGCTAATTAAGATTCGAGAGCGAAGTCATACGGGTGAACATACTGATATATAGTGGTATTAAGGTTATTCCGGAGAATTACCGTTACTTTGAATGAAACGCAAGTAATAAAGACGGACTTTTAAAACAGCTTACCTCCTTAATCTACACATTTTTGGTACCGAGATATCATTCCAATGTAAACGACTAGCGGGTATCTGCCTTCCAGGCCAGCAGCATTTAATTTTATCCTGTCTGCTATAAAACTTGGTCCGTCAACAATTTTTCTATCTCAAAAATATATTTCAGGTGGTACTTCCTAAGAATTTAATTGGTTGTAAATGGGATTTTTAATTCGACCTAATCTGGGATAATCTTTAGTCAGTTATGTAAACAATGATGACGTTTTTAATAACTTGTAGAATAATAATGGTTATGGTGCTTCACTAGCGTCTTCTGAACTCATTTCAGCGGTCTCCAAACACAATAGTAATCGAAGGAAACGCAAATATACAGATGACTAAGCTTGTCTTCTTAAACGTGGCTACTGAAAGTTAATAAAGTGAGATTGATTCGTTTCTTGACTCATCAAAGAGAAGCAGATTAAAAATCGTCTCTCTGAAGCTATCCGTACAAAGGACGGATTATCACTGTACTTCCAAACGAAGAGAAACATTTCAATCGTCTTTTTGTTATTTTCCAAATACCAACAAAAAGCCCAATTGGGAAATTAGTAACCTCTCCTACTCGAAACAATGTTACGACGTCTATAATTACCTTAATGCAAGGTAACTCAGAAAGTTTTGACATGTTACTTCCAGAAAATCTCTTAAAGTGATGGCACATTGTACTTATAGCGGAGAGGTGGTCAGTATATGACATGGTGTCGTGGTATGAAAGAAAGCTGCAAAGGGCTAGCTTCTGTTGGTCCTTCACGACTCCCTGGTTGGGGTCCGAGAGACGGTGTAACGCAGTGGCTAGAGACGTCATTAGATATGGCTCAGAATAGAAGCCAATGGCGATCCTGCTGTAACCTTCTTTTACTTTCTTCATAAAAAGTGGTTGTATCTTCCTTACTGAAAGATCTCTTCTGACTGTACCTTTCCGTTTCCCCCACCATTGTTCTGTCTCTCTCCCTTTTTTATTATTCGCCACGTTCATTACTTTTTTTCTCTTTTCTCCTTCTCTTCAAATTATCATTGTTTTGTGTGGCGCATATATATTTGGTGCCCCCCTTGTACCAATATTTATGTGTTCAAATAAAATAATAAATAACATTGTACTTATAGAGATTGGTTGATATTAAATAATCGAGGGGCTAGTTACCAGCCCTCATGCCCCCAAATGCTCTGGTACGGCCGAGAGTGGGGAGAGTCAGCTCTCCCTCTCGAAATGCTCTCACATGGCCACGCGTATACAACTGCTGCCAGGGAAGTCCTACTTACTGCCTTCTCGTGGCGGGGGTGATGTTTACGAAAATGAGAGAACGAAAACGAGTGTCCGGCACTTTAACCGAATCCCAAACCAATGGTGCACATGGGCTCCAGTATCCTGAAGGAACAAATGGCGTATGAAACAATCGTCGGTCACCGGCTACCATGGGACTGCATCTCCTCACGATGCTCCACTGCCTTGTGGATCAGACGTTCAGGTCGAAAGCTCGGGGTATGGTCCCCTAAGAAAACCACCTTCTTCGGTTTGGGCACCCGGGCAGTATCACAGCCCTCACACATATCCAATGAAATCTGTGTGGCGCGTATGTATTTGGTGCCTTCTTGTACCGATATCTATGTGTTAAAATAAATAAATAATACCAGCCCGCATAGTCCTACTCTATGAAAAAACGGAAATCCCGTTTAAATCGCTACAAAGTAAAGTCACATCACGTGTAAACTATTAGCTCCCTTATTCACTCAATTTCTAATCCCGAAACCTGAAATTACAAAGTCAGTTGTAGACCTGACTGTAGATGTATGAATCTAATATTTTCTGGTGTTGTTACATAGACTTTCTTCACTACAAGTAACTAATCATTATTGATCAGAAGACGGTATTTAACCAATAGTTCTTGCGACGAAATTAATTGAACAACCAAAATAGAAGCGCTTCAATTTTCTGAAGTATGTACTCTATCACTTTGATTTCTTTCCAAACCACATACTGTTTCTAAGCTTTTCGTTATAATTGACGCTACTGTTATTATTTTACTTTCTTGGTATTCATCTCCCCATTAGTACAGCAAATTTGACCAATACATATATGCTAGGTCCTACGCTGTATATGATTGATTAGCTACTATACAGTTTTTGGTAGATTCAGCTGTGATAAGTTAGTGGCTGGCCTAACATATGTACAGATACGGAGACTTCTATTGATTTTCGCTGAGTTACTGTGCATATAGTTCAGATAATTTCTTGAGTGATGTCACGTACTATTAGACTAAGCTATACCAGTAGGTGCAATCCTGCACAACTAAAGTCTGCTTACATAATAATCTATGTTCAAAGTAGAAAAAACCTATCTAATTCCCACAGGCTTTTTCATCTTTTATCTTCCTTTGAATATTGAGCTTAGGTACCAGCTCTTTTGCTTCCCGATCTCACTCGTTCATGAGCTCTGTTCTCGTTTAGTGTTTACTACATGACAAAAAGGTACAACTGCCGTGTTTATTGTTAAAGTATCTGTACAAGAATGAAAAGACAATCGAAATATCACGAGTGTTAACTTAACACTTTATATCAAAACTATCGTTAAACTTATGTCCATAATTCCAATATTTATTTCACTAAACTTTCCTCGCTATCCGTCAGTAGAATGTAATGAATAGAGCTCTTCCGTCGATAACAGCCTTAACTAGGCAAATATTCATTAACGGTCTGCGTCTGAATATTTGACGACAGCCGCACAAAACTAATGTTTCATTTAGATTTCATTCCTAAAGAATTTACTTGGCTCTCGATAGATTTCTCTAAGCGAATCTTTTATATAAGTACGTTTGTATGTACGTCATTGAACATAATGTTTGCTCAAAAATGGTACGAGGACTACTACTTATCCAGTCCTTAAAAAGATTGCGAGTAAAATTCCTGTAGATCTTAAATGTTTTTTAACACAATAATTTTGTAGTATTCTCGCCTTTTAGATTATTATCCCATGAAATCGAGAACATCTTCGTAACTCTCGCGATAAAAACAATCATTTGTATTATCTTTGGAGTTACAACTATGATAATACGGTTACAAAGGCATACTGATCGAACTGAAACCCGGGAATCGCAAGGATTGTTCACCATTATTCGCTTGTTATACCAGTTGATAACGGGACGATACGTATGTGCGTACAAAAGTCGAGACACAAAATCCAGCTCATCAGTGTTTCTCAAAAATGTAAAATGAAAAATTTGTTTCAAAACGTTTGTCTACAAACAAAGTCTTTCCACTGAGCAACCTACAATTAAGAAAATGATTATTCTAGCGTTATTTATACGTATTTTGAAAACAGAAAATGTTTAAAATGCTAGTTTCTTTAATAAAATAAATGTGATGTAATCTAAGGGTTTGATTAACTGCTGTTAAATTAAATTCTTAAATGTATTTCATCTGGCATAACTTTAGCACAAAACCCTCAGTCACGATCAAGTGAATTTATCACCACTTTCTTATGCATTCGCATCGATCAGTTGGTTTATTTGAATTTCAGTGGGACATAGTCGCAAAACACTGAAGAAATAGGTGAATAATTATAGAGACCTAGGAATATGTCCATAAAGAACCTAGTTTTGTATGAAATCTGTTCACAATCAACAAAAAAGCCAGGAAAATATTCTCTAAATTAAATATTGATTCCAAAGATACTAGGTTTTGGTATGTATTCATTTAAATAGAACAGTGAAGCGAATCAAAATTAGGAGCGTGATTGGCAAGTCTACAAATGTATGTGATGGTCGAACAAAAATTTATAGCTCTATTTGGAGAATCTTATCCTTAACCATGAAGTCCCAATATTGGGCTAACACTAAAAGATTCCCGGTCTGATAGACGAAATTATTAGAATATAATGGCCAATTTTACCGTTACACAGTTAATATCTTGCCTCGAAACCGAAGTTCACGGCTACCAGCATAAGAAAGTTTCTTGTTGACCAGATGCATTCAGAACGCATGCACTAAATACTGTTAAAATATTAATTGCTCGCTCGTTTGAATTATATTACGCCAATTTACACGTAAGTTGGCTTATCTCTGTGCGAATCGTATGTTTTTTCGGATAAGGTACAGTATCATAATCGAAATATCCAACGAGACATATTTGCAGCAGTACCTACTACTATTTAATTAACGACGTTAGGTATACGAATAATTAAAATGTCTTACAGGAACTGATAGATAGTGAGATATTTCCTTCTTCTTTTGATGATTGCCAGGTATTTGAGACATGAGTTCTTTCAAAGCGTTGATATTTCGCTTTTCCAAGCAGAGCTGAAATGAAAGACATTCAGATGCTTTGAGAACTGGTATGTCTTGAACTGAATTTCAAGATGAAACGACAATGTAATTAATGTTCATTTGCGCTATCTGCATATACGTGTTCAGTACTTCATCATAATCGTGCAGTAATTTACTGGACGAACAATAACATTGTGGCTGATATATCAATTATTTGTTACATTTTTAACTTGATGATCATAAGTTCTTATTCTGAGTGCGTATACTTAAATTAAACGACACGTTAGAATGTCAAGATGAAAAATAACAGTTGAAGGATTTGTGATTGATGTAACAGACGACTGTTAGTTCACGTATTTTTTTAATTATGTGGATAACTACACCGGAAAGTGACTCACATTTAGCTAATCTCCCGGATAGACATAATTTACAAATCTTCTTGAGGTGAACTTTCATTCAGGATGTAACTATATGGTGTGTTCTACTTATGTCCGCCGACATAAGTAGTATATATCACCAACCGAAAGTGGGATAGCTGGAGGCAGAAGGTTGAGAAGATCAGAAAGAAGATAACGAGAGTGGTTGGTATGGAAATGAAGGAATAATAAAGTCGGAGACGATTGAGGGACATTTTGCAAATGAAGTACTTACCGTATGGTTCTCAGATTTTAATAAGGTATTCTGTAATTTTGGATTCAGACACATTTGGTTGTCCCCACATGCATTCTTGTTCGCTACATTTCTACCTGTTAAGAATAAGAGTACTACAGTGCCTGATACATGCCTTTTCCAACATATCTTACATATTGTACTGCAGGCTACAATTGTGGTTCCATTTAATTTCGATTTTGTGTTTTTAAGTACAGAAATTTAAATGCACTGGAGACCTTTCTAAATCTTCCACCAAATTACTGTTTCATTAATGAAAAGTAAATCTCCATTTTTGGAAGTACTAGAGGTTGTGATGGAACTTTCAGAAATTTATATATTGAATGTAAATGTAATGAACGTTGAGTAATGTGTAGCCATAAAGACTTTGTTATAAATTATATTGCAAACAATTTAACTTACTTTAACCGCTTCATCGACCATATTTAACCGAATAACAATCTGTATAAACTCTTCATCATCACTTAGATATTTCAAGTAACCCTCAGTAATCTAAAAATGAGAAACACTAAATAAAAATCCAGATTATGAAATACCGTTGTAAGAGATTAACCTTTAGTTTTTTGACTCATTAAATTATAATTTTCTTAAATATATCACTCAGTTAATTTCAATAACATTAGAGATGACCATTATGTGCCCTAAGAATGAGAACATAATGTCCTCAGAACGAGTTCATTTGGATATCTACCTACGATATCAGATGTAGAACAGTAAGTTTCTCCATAGACACGTGGTGGATACAATCAATATATTGACAACACCATACTACGACACTGCCTTCTCACTATTCTATCGAAACTAAACTAAATATTTCATATATAATCATTACTACCTACTAACCGACATTTTTTGACTTAGTCTGAAACGAATCAAGTCATCAAATAGCTAGCTCATTGGTAAGGTCTCTGAATGGGGTGGGAATGTCAGTTAAAGTTTACAGATGAGTTAACAAACAGTAAACCCATGTTCATAGCCCTTGGTTAATCATCTCCACACTCAAAAGCAAATAATATCTTCAAGATGGTAAGTTTTAGTAATCACAGATAAAACAAAAAATGTTTGAAGCACGACGTTCAAGCAGTATTGTTTCTCGACAATTTCATGTTAAAAAGCTGTAGTATTTAAACGAGAAAACTAATGAACAAGTTTTATAAATCAGTGTGCATTAATATACCGTGGAAATGATAGAGTTCGTTTCACAATAAAGGGCAAAATAAATAACCATTAAAAAGAGAGATAATAACGCTGACTAGATATGATAGAATGTATGAGAAATTAAAGGTCAAGGACACGATCACAAGATGTGAGATTCCGGTATGATTCCCCAAATAGGTAAATAATATCCCCCTGACAGTTAGTTGTTTGAGTTAAACAGAACAAGATTGATCTGTGTCATCTGATTTTAAGTGACAGAGCATTAGATAACAGATTTGAACAAGATACTAACATTAATTTTGGGCTATTTACAAAAAAGATATCTCTGAGTGTGGTGATATTCCTAGTAAGCTATAAAGATTTCGCAATACATTAACTGAGCTGTGTTCAATAAATTAGTTCGCAAATGAGTGGAAATGTAAGTTTTTCAATCCGTCAATGCTATGATCTATCATTTTAAGGAATATATTTCTGGTCTACCAGGTTTAAAAAAGGGGATACAATCACAACAATATAACTGTAAAGTTCCAAATCAAGTACTTACAACCTTGATATAGAAACAACCCAAGATCCATAGAAACCCATTAACAATTAGGTCTCATATGTACCATAACAAAGCATCATTTCAAGTAGGTAAACATCAAACTTAGAGTTACAACAACATATTTCTGATGAAAAATAAAGTTTCTCCGACGTAGATGGAATTAACAAATGCATCTCAAAGATGGATGTCAGTTATACTATCCTTTTGATCAACTTACTCTAAAATAGTACCAAAATATATGACAATTCATTTGTAGTTTTGGGTTATTTAAATGTTCTTTATTTCCTTTGCAGAATCATATGTTGTAGAACAAGTGAATATTATGAAATAATAACTGCGAAGAGACTTACGTTGTTTGGGACACCTAATGAATTGAGATGAAGGATAAAACGGTCAGTTGGGATAGTAACCTCCATACGACGCGACAAAGATTTCTTTAAGAATTATAGTCGATTTATGTAACCAGTCAGTTTACCTTTTTTAACATGATAAATTCCAGATCGTCCCAGTTTCGTGACTGAACAAGGGGCTCTATTAACAACCATCTAAACTGTTCATCCGATATCTGAAAGAAATATAAGGATATTAGTTATTAGTAATATATAACAATAATTATTTCCACACGATGAGAGAAAACAAAAAACCTATGACTCATGACAAAAAGTATTTGAATGCTGACGTAGGAAACAAGCAATGTAAGGATCGGAAGAAAATTCCAATAGCCAGAACACACATTTCAAAGAAATCCAAACTTCTTGATCTTGGTGTGAACAATTGATATAAAATTCTAATAAAGATGTTATACAACTATTAGTTATTTCAGAGCGTACCAGCGTCAACATGAAACGTTTAAGTGAATTATATGAATCGAACATTGGAGAAATTGACAGAGCATCTAATCAACTTCTTTACCACACAGTATTCAAAGGAGAATACTAGATTGAGGGTAAATGGGAGGCTATGCATCGTTTGGCTTTTTAGGTGAAAAAGAACATGAGAACTGGAAAAAAAGCTATCGGCTTAGTTTACTACACTTTAAATTAACACAGAAAGTGAGATTCAATAAAGAACAAAAATCAAGGTCAACAATAATGGAAAGTAACGGACCTAATTAAAGACATAATATCCCATAATATCTAAGATTCAAAGGAAGATAAAGAGTATACTTAAGTCGCTTACCGATTTTAGGCTATGCCCTACAATTTATGTATTTGTTTTGTTGTGGATACCGACTGAAGAACCTTCACCTTAGAATACAGCCCAAACGATTGTCAAGCGAATATGAATCCAGAAAGTAGATAATTCTGAAACCACTTCGAGCAATTATTTGATACAATAAATAACTGCTAACTTGATTGCGGTCATAAGTCTGAATTCAGAGATTTTAGTAAGATGATCCATTGTTGTATATGTCAACCAGTGATAGGCATACTACAAAATCCAATGAACACCGAGTAGCATGGTTGTATCTAAGAATAAATCTAGGGTTAGTAAATACATCTGTATTCTTGAATTCTGATATAAGTTCCAAGTTTGATTGATCAACATAAGGTCAGACCTAGAACCCGCCTGGTTTTTACCGTATTTGATACCCTTGAGCACTAGTTGCAAGGCAGATGAACATAGTAGCTGAAATCTTGGGGAAAATATCGGTCAAACTGACTCCCCGATGGTTATTTCAGAACAATTTTTCCTACACTACAAATTAAAGGGTAAGCGACTGAATATGTTTACACAGAACTATCCCTGATTCAAAACACTACTAATTTAGCTCATTTAATATTGCTGTCTTTAAACATGAGGTTGACGCGTTAGTATATGTTCCTTTTCCTAAATGATGAGAATGGATTAATAGAAATATTAAGACATTTACGAGAGAACTCTAAATATACATTAGCAAATGAAATAAAATGGTGTATATGATTGATGTTCCCCAGTTCATTAGACTGTGGTGAACTTTAAGACAACTGACTGTGTTGGTGATCTTATTGATTTAAAGTATTACGATCTAACCATAACTATTACCTTGACATGACGGTGAAATTCGCTAAATATGATAACCAATCATGTTATATTTACTAAGACGTTTTTCTCTTGTTCTTTAACCATACAAATTATTTAGAGGAAAAACTACAACAACTAAATTTTATACATATTTATAAAGTAGCTTAATATTATTAAGAGCAAAAACTAACTACTTCAAATCAAATTTTAAAAACCACGTGCTTTGAACTTTTTCCCAAGAGTTTCAGCCCGACTATTGGTCTTAACGCTTTGATCCATCCTCGCCAATGCACCAAGAGTTTCGCATAATGGCTGCATCAACAAACTATCAGGAAGTGCAGTAGCTGTTTTTTGGGCGTTTGCATGTGTAAGAAGTTCACTGTAATACGAACTCCATTCTTGTTCCTAATATAAACAAATTACACTAATTATTAAGCGAACAGAAATAAATACATAGCTGTTCTGATAATCCAAGATAACAGCCAATTCAGAAGAGATTTCAACAATATTTTTAACAGCAAGATTTGAGGCTACTTCAGATCTAAGTGAAGTTAGTAAAAAAAACTATATTTTAAAATACTCTGCAATCTGCATTAAATATTTATTAACTTCATCTACATGACCAGACGATAAATTCATCAACTTTTGCATCAACTGATTATAGCTACAAATCTTCGCAACAACAAGTATTTTGTATATAAGTTGAGATACAAGGTTAGCTTACTTCACTTTCTCTGATAAAACCTAGCAGTCTAAAAAATTAAGTTATTTATAACCAGATTAACTCACTTCATATATTTCTTTAAGTCTGCTAACTGTCCAGTATTTCTAAGAAAGTTAAGAAAGTGAAACGCGGCTACTGAGTTTTTTAACAAAATATTTCCAAAATTGCTTTCTGATAATGAATTCCTAAGTTCATTAACAATCTGTAGGGAATGGTGATTTGAAATAGATAGATTTCGAAAGTGGATGTTAACCTTTGTAATTAAATTGCCATCACAAGTACTTGTAGTCAAATTTAAAATGACTGATTTGGAAGATTGTGAAACAAAAGTACTCAACGGCCATGTACTCATTCCCCCAACAACAAAATCGTCAAGAGCTATTGTAATTGCTTTCAACCAGCATGCCTGTTACAATAAATTTTTAAAAACTGTTGAATTGTATTTGAACCTCTGAACAGAAGGTAGCATCTTTTTCATAGTAAATCTCATTACCGATCAAGTTATGACATATTGTACAAAATTGATCGTTAAAGTCTGTTAGATGAAATTTAGATGATCACAGTGATACTAATTGAGATTCATACCTCTTGTTATTGATTCATCACATGTTTCACCAAAGCTATCACCGAGAATATGAGAGTACGCTAAACAAAATATGATGGTAGAATTTATTGATAAACTACTTGAAGTATTATCCGCTTCCTCTAAATCAAATTGAAATCCTTTGACAGCACTCTCCTCCCATATATCATCTGACATTCTATTTGAAGAAAATTTAAAAAATTAACCAAAATAACTCGATCTGACTGAGATATACTGACAAAATATTAAAATAAAGTCAACAACTCACATACAACATCGAAATTACACGTCAACTGTTAGAATGATATATATATATATATATATATATATATATATATATATATATATATATAAGTTCAAAAATCCCCATAGAATATTCAAAAATGAAGAACTAAATTCCAAAAGCTTGGGTCAGGTAAAGACCTCAATGAAAAGACCGAGCGTCAACTAACTACAGTATTAAATTTTCTAAAACAACATCAATACATCTCTGAGCATACCTATAATGCGCTCAAGCCTTCTGGAACACATACACATCGACTATATGGTCTACCTAAGATTCACAAACCTGATGTTCCTTTACGCTCGATACTGGATACGGTAAATTCACCATACCATTCAACAGCAAAATGGCTAGTTAAGTTATTAGAACCATTGCACCAAGATATTGCTAAGCATAATGTTAAAGACGTCTTTGAATTTGTTGATACAATTAAAAATATGAATTTAAATGGCAAAACCAAGCTATCATTAGACATAACATCCTTGTTCACTAACATCCCTCTGACTGAAACTATCGATTACATATGTGAACAACTGCTAGAAAAGAAAATAGAGATACCTATCCCAATAAGTAAAATGAAAGAACTGTTGAAATTCACTATGAATATCTACTTTAATTTTAACAATGAATTTTTCAGACAAGTAGATGGGGTAGCAATGGGATCACCTCTAGGCCCGATCCTTGCTAATATTTTTCTGACCAAACTAGGAAATGGACCGCTTAAAGATATCCTAAGTAAGCTTGATTATTATTTGCGATACATAGATGACACACTGATCATATGCGACGAAAATATAGACAAACAGATGTTAGACGCTTTCAATAATGTCCACCAAGCCATTAAATTCACCAACGAGGAGGAGAAAGACAATAGTATAGCTTTTCTGGATGTCCTACTTTCTAGAACGATAGATGGTTCCATAAAGCGAAATATATTTAGAAAGAGTACATGGATGGGTCAGTTTACCCATTTCCAAAGCTTCACACCTCTTCAATATAAAATAAATTTGGTTAAGTTTCTCAACCACAGAATCAAGTTATTATGTTCTGAAGACAGTGTGGATGACGAAATAGATATATTAAAGAACAAATTACGATATAATGACTATCCTGATAATTTCGTCAAAAAATACCTCGTACAAAGCAATAAAAAAAGAAGACATTGTGACACAGTCAGCAAAAAGACCTTGTATCTGAGACTTGACTTTAAAGGGGACATAGCGGGTAATATTCTAACACGTCGACTCAAAAGATCTGTCGAAAGGACGTTTCATGCCGCCAAGTTACACATAATCTTCTCGACTAAACCAGTACTCACACAACTAATCAAGGATAGGTTACCGAAGATGGGCTCCTCCATGTGTGTATACCAATTCAACTGCTCCTGTGGAGCTAGTTATGTAGGCCGTACTCAGAGGGCTTTATCCTTGCTTGTTCGTGAACATGTACCGGCATGGTTGGGAAAAGGAGTTACTAAATCGATTAACAGTGCTATTCTTTCACACTTCGTAGATGATGAACATCATATCAAAATAGAGGAAGCTTCCTCTGTTTTATATCAAGTTCCAAAATATCTACTTCAAGGAGCTAGATTACGACTGCTTTACATAGCCGAAGCCATCTGGATCAACTCTAGAAGACCTAATTTATGTATCCAGAAAAAATATATCCAGCCTCTATGTTTACCTTGGCCTACGACTGGATCACCGAATACCTAGTCTGAATATTTTAAACCTCTTATCCCCTTCCTCTATTTTTATTTATTTTCCTTATTATCATTATTTTTGACTATCTCTATCTTAATCTTCACATCCATCATTCCCAATTCGTTGATCGTAATTATCTTGATAACACCCCCTACCAACTTATTACATATTATATTCACACAACAATCTTATTAGTTTTATCTCAAATGACAAGATGAAATTCCCCTACTATGCATTTTATTCACACAATTTTGCTTTTACATTTTCAATTTTGCTATAATACTATTACACTTATTGTGATTCAACACTACTCCAAATCATCCTGTCCTTTATTGAATGACCTTTCTAATTTGCAAATAATACAATTTTGACGTATATATATATATATATATATATATATATATATATCGTAACAGATGCAAAAGTGCACCAATTTTTTAACACATAACGTTGTCAAATTTCATTAATACATGCCTTATTTTTGGCCTTTGTAAAATATTATAATTATGGACTTGTAACTGTAGAGCCTGATGATGAAGTTATTGAAAACAATTATTTGCTCAAATATTCTTCATTTTTGAATATATATAAATGTTTGATTTTACTATTTTGAACAAAAAAACTTGTTTACACTGGGAAGTGGAAAAGAAATCGATGTGATAAACAGCATCTGTAACAAAGCGTTATACTGCTAAATGACGTAATTAATAGTTGGACGACAAAGATAACGGTTTATCAGTCAGTTATTCAGCTACTACGTAGAACCAGACACATATATGCATCGGTCGAAGTTGCGATACCTCATTAGCACAACAAGATGAACACCTAAATCATAGTAGTTACTTCAATGGTAGTAATATGTAAAAGAAGGATTGTGTATAAGGATATAGTACAGGAAAAAAGAACTAATTCTCATAAAGATATAAAGCAATTTTAACTTCATGGTTTAAAGGAAGATAAAGACTGTAAACACAAACGCCATTGTGATCTATTTTAAAATATGTCATCTACAGACTTCTATCATTGGTTACGATAATTACGCCGACCCCCAACAAGGACGTATGGAATTCATACCATAAAAAATTGAACTAAAGAAAAGGTAACAGATTTCATTAGAAGAAAAGTTGAATACAAAAAATATCATCCATGTACCCAAAACATTCAGATTGCATATATTCAGTGAGCGAAATGAAACAAATCTGAATAAACCAGATGAACAATAAGTTTTATACAAACTGCGTTGTTAAGGATTAGATAAACTATCTCAAACATTTTACCAACTTTGAAGCGGTTGTTGATGAAAATTGATCATAGCGCTACAATCAACGACTTCCGATAGAAATATTTCGCCAGAAGTACAATTAACTTAGAAAAAAATAAAGTCACGCATAATAGTACTCAGAACCATAAAACAACCTGTTAGGTGTTAATAGTGTCCGATTTCCTATCCTAAAACTTGGGCGTTCCCTAAGCAGTTAGGCATTTAGTTACAATACACTAAAACCAGACCATACTACACTGTGCACAAATATTTAGAAATTGATTATATAAGGTAGGACTAAGGGGAAAAATGGATGCAGAAGTATACCAATTTCAAACGTTGAGAATATTCCCTCCTGTTAAGCAAATGTCTATAATAATTCTGTAAAACTCAGATAGGGAAATTTGATTACATGACAGAATACGAACAAAAGACTGTTTTGACTGCTGATTATTAAATCTTAATAAAATAGAGTATCAGACATACGAATGACTAAAGTACTATCTAGATGTAATCACCCTGCTTCGGTTTGGGCACCCGGACAGTATCACAGCCCACGCACATCAAGTGACTTGTGTGGCGCATATGTATTCGGTGCCTCTTTGTACCAATATTTGTGTCCAAATAATTACAATAATAATAATGAGAATAAAATGTAATCATGAGTTCACCTAGTTGAAAGAACACAAATCCCATATTAAAACATGAAAAACCTGAAAGAGTTTCGAGGATATATGCTTAAATATATGAAAGTACACTTAAAATGTGCTTAGCTAGATTACAAAATCCAGAACAATACTTAAACAACCAGTGAGTTTGAGAACCTGATGGTGAGAATAAGGCAATTATAAATTGAAAGTGAATACTAGACTACCATTACCAAATCAGTGAATAATACTAGGAAAATAAACATTTGGAGTGAAAGAATATTAAAACACCACCTTACAGAAGCAGAAATTATTGGTAAGACAGCAACCTGTTTAGTTACATCCGTTTCTTAAATTCATACAGTTCGACTTGACGAACTTGTCAACTCTTTTCTCAACCAAACCACCAGTGGAACCTTGGTTACACCAAATACCAAAGCAATCTGTTGAAAGTGCTTGCAGTACGTGAGCTTGGGGTCTCAGATGGAAACATTTGTAGGGCCTTTCCATAGGAGAAAAGTACCTCTTCTTTACAACCCCTCAAACGATTCTAACCGGAATTTTTAGTGTACCGTGTGCCCCCAAGAGGCTACGTATCTATAGATAAGAAAATGTATACACTTTCACAATGCTGAGACAGGTAAGGACCCAGTACACTTAGTCGGCCACCAAATAGGCTATCTTTCAGACTCATGACGACTTTTTCTTCTTTATGCACCTTTTGGAAGTTATTTCAATCCTTAACGGTGAAGGCGTCACAAAATAGTGTGCTTCAAGATAAAATCGGAATGTGACCTAATGGCATTATTTCTATCTTTACCGAAACCCGAGATGGAGCTAACCCTCTGCGGTATTTCGGACTGCAAAGAACGACCCACATCGCTTATTACAAAAACCAATGCCAAACAAGAACGCCGACGTCCGACCTACAGCTTATAGTTTTAAACCGGTCCAAGGCCACCAGTCCGGCGTCACCTTGAATGACTATGACCTCAAATGGTTCAAATGGTTTGAACGGGATAGAAGAAGCTTTCGCTTAACGGGCTTCCGTATCTAGTGGCAGTGGATTACCAATACCTCCAGGCAGGAACCTAGGTATATTAACGGTAATAGAAGAAAAAGAAATTGGTAAATCATAGTAAAATATTATCCTCAGTCCTTAAGGATAGGTCAAGTTGCCTCTTAAAAGGACTCCTTGGAAGTCGCTTAGACTAGCTCAGCCGGCAGCGAACTCTTAAGAAGTAGGAGTTGTGTCTCTAGTTTCTGGGTGTTGCCCCTTA